CCGGTTTCGCCCTTCTTGGGGCTCATCAAGTAGGCAAAGTCCCCGAGTTTCCGTCAACCTTATGTTCTACTTGAACCCAAATTGTACTGTTTTTCGAGAAATACACTCATTTGCAAATCAATTTGGTTTTTCACGAGAGATTCAACTGAATTTCGCGTTTGTGATGTTCTACAACTGAATGTGCTGCACACAGGCCGCCTCATGTTTCAGTTGGTACGATATTCGAGATATCGGGGACTGCGACTACCTGATGAGCCCCAAGAAGGGCGAAACCGGTCGTGGGCTGTCGAAGAGTTTCCAGCAACCTTTATGAAAATATACTATGATATCTCGAATATCGTGTCAACTAAAACATGAGGTGGCCTGTGTGCATCAGGTTCAGTTGTAGAATATCACAAACGAGAGATTCAGTTGAGTCTCTCGTGAAAACTACATTGATTTGCAAAACGAGTGTATTTCTCGAAAAACAAGTGAGTTTCTTTTAGAAGTTGATGCTGTCGAATGACACACTAATTGGTTAAGGTAACCATGATACTTGTTGCTTTTCAGGACGCCTACTCAAACGAATGTCGTAAAGACTGAGGAACAACAAGTTCATCCGCGGCTGTAAAACACTGTACAAACGGCGTGGCTATCCGCACGAGTCACCAAGAGCAATGGACTTTGAGCCCGTCTCGAAAAAAATGATGCGCCAGTGACCTTGTCTATGTTTATTTTCACCATATTCACATGGTGACTTTCAAAGCTGGTTACTTTGCGCAGTTCTTGTCAAATTCATATAATTAAGTAAGACCAACAAACCTGTGTTTGCTTAAATCATGTGTGTGAACAACGAAAAAATCGCAACATGGTGTAAGTCTTATTAATCTCGTTGTTGAGATAGCAATGGAAAAACTTGCAACATAAAATTGTGTACTTTGATCGTTCCAACCTACGTCATCGGATCCAACTCTATGGGATTGGTTATCGAATTTGTGATTCCTGGATTGATTCAATTGCGTGGTATCGGCAACTGTGGTCAGTGGTCCCTGGTTGCATTGCATTGTTCAGCAAAACTGAAAAAAACTATCAGCCCGCACAAGTCCTGTTCGTTTTGAAATGCATTCGTTTGCACACCGGTTTCAACCGACTTTCTTGAGATGCATCGTGTAGGCGAAGTCTTCAAGTTTCCATTACCCTTACATTTTACTTGGACTCATATTGAAAAGAATTTTTTTTGAAAGTGGATTTATTTCGTCACTCGATTGAACTTTGATCTTCATGTAGAACACAAGGTTGATGGAAACACAAAGACTGTCTACCTGATGAGCCTCAAGAGAAGAAAAACTGATCGCGGACTGTTGAAGAATTCACAGTAATATCATGAGTAATCTCACCTTCTAACCTGCTATGATATCCTTAGATTCCTCTCAAAGAAACTGAACAGAGGGAATCGCGGCTAGCAAAACGTGCTTCAGTGTTTTAGCTTGTTTGCCACTTAAGCAATAGAAAATGCTCTACTTGTTTTTTAACTATTGTTTTGCTCATTGCTGAATTGTCTCAGCGAAATACACTCATTTGCAAACTAATTTGGTTTTTCGAGAGACTCACCTAGAACCCAGCTAAGTCCCTCGTTTGTGATGTTTCCAGGCAATTAAATGTGCTGTACCAAGCCGCCTCATGTTTCAGTCGCCATGATATTCGATGTATCGCAACATATATATTCGTAATGTACTACTCATAAGGTTGCTGGAAGTTCATCGACAGTCCACGACTAGTTTCACCCTTCTTGGGGCTCATAAGGTAGGCGCAGTCCCCGAGAATATAAAATTGACCGAAACTCAAGGAGTGCGCCTACCTGATGAAACCCAAGGAGAGCGGAACCGGTCGTGGGCTGTCGACGAATTTTCAGTAACCTATGATGAGTGGTTTCAGCTTCATTGAAAAATTCAAGATAGCTATCGCGACCTCTCGATCTAGGCTTCCTTTCATCAAACCCACCGATCCGGCCCGTCTGCTTCCGAAAACGACGTCAAATTAATCGACACATTTCTTGTACGAAAGGAAGCTCGTAACGCGTGTCGAGAACGACCATTGTTACAACATATCTAGAAGTAGATGTCTTTCGTGTGAGCTCAAAAGTCTTTGTACTACGGTGATTCTGATTCACATTAATAAAAGGCAGTCAAAATGACCGCATAAACAATGTAAACAAAGGTGAAGAACTTTCACATGCTTACCAGTCACAAATCAGTTAATCGCGGTGCTCAGTTCTCGTCGTTTGAAATTTATATTTTATTGGCTGCATAAACGCAACAATTCGCAACAATTAAAAAACTTATTTGAACCGCTGTAGGCAGTTACTCTTCACTGACCATCCCCAAAATCAGTATGCAAAAATCCCCGACTTGCTCGGTCGTCTAACGCCATCAGAGCTTATATTTTTATCAGGCTGACTATCGCTAGCCTTTCCCAGTTTGTTCCTCTCACTTTGATTTCAGCTTATTTGCCAGACTTAGGTTCTATACCATCTCACACTACAAGAACCTGACTTTGTTACTGGCAGTCACAGATGGCATTTTCACTGTCCTAGTGAGTTTTGACAACTCCTTTACATTTCCATCATCTCAGGGTCCAGTGAGAACTGCGCTGGCAAGAATTGGATTTCCTGCGGCAAAAGTAAAACACTTCCTGGGTTTTGTCTTAATTGCTATTTTTCTCTTGAATCCTTCAATGCAGGAGTAGAAAATTTGTTTGGTTAATTCGTTAGCGTAAGTATAAATCTTTGAAAAAATTTCTACAAATACGAAAAGCATATGTTGGAGAGGAACAGAGGATGTTGCAAGCCGCACCGATGACAAAACCCTGTTCCCGAACACTCATTACCAAACCGGTCCCTCAAAAATCTATTGTAATGCAAAACAGAGGATCAAACCGTTCCACCGCAAAATAAAAATTAGCATGAGTAGAACTGGTGTGACCATATTGAAAGGCATGTATCATATCCCCCAGATTAGTCCGGATCAACAATGCGAGATGATCTGCCGATGTCATTTGACATATGGACGAACGGTTAGGAACACACGGCGGAACTGAGTAGATCTTGTCTCTACTTCACACCTACTGCACAATTTTTTCAAAGGTGAGAATCTGGACTGGTTCCTGGAAATTCACAATATTTTCCATTCTGACCAACTGATATCGACTTTTGTGGTTCAGTTAAAAACGCAATTACCTTACTAAAAAAACAGCCCTTGGATTTGTGGGTCAACAAAGATCACCTAGGGGAGACATTTTTAGCATATTTTATCGCAACTAAACATCAAAATCCCAGCTAATTGTCAACGTGAAGAAAGGTGATCACCCAGGAGCAGCCACCTCAAACGAGCATATCCCAAACTGAAACCTTATGTAAGCCGGTCATGAAGCGATAACCCCATCACTCAAATCTCCAACTTACCACCTTCATGCCCAAAAATCACCGAAAAGGATTCACTATACAAATATCTAATCTGCCTCAATGGGAAGCCGTTAATAATTGGAATCAGTTTTACGGATTTCGGTCATAATTTGTGTGGTTCAGGCACTGGAAGTCTTGCTTCTTTTCAGCTTGAGTTCATCAGTTGCAGTTCCAAGCCAACAACTAAACTCCTAGACGAGTGGGAGTCCACCGAACAAAAATAACCGTGCGCCGTACATCTTGTAGTCAGAATTAACTGATCGATTTTGCCTCCACAGCAGACAGTTGCGGAGGCGGTGTTGCCAATGGCAACTTCGGGAACCATACTTGTGTCACGCAAATACTTAGACCGTAATCACTAAATTCCTTTTGGGCGAAGTCAAATAAATCCTATCTGTTTTTCGTATCAGAAAGACTGACATTTAACATGTCATTGCTCTTTCACAGGTGACTGGAAGCCGTTGTTCAAGTCAACTGGGACATAGCGGCATAGCAAGAATCTGCTTTAAATCAAAGGGTGTTCTTCAATTCTGAAAAAGCTCTAGGCGCCCGTGATCCATACGAAACATTTGTCATGTTTGACACATTTAACGCGCGTGTACGCGATGAGGAGAACAGAAGCTAAGAAGAAACCGAACTGAAAACGGAAAACAAATGTTGTACTGTCACTACGGTTGAAAATCCGTCTACTTAGTGGTTATTATCGGTTAGCAACAGGTTAGAAAACGTGTGCATAGTCTCCTGCCAGTTTGTCCGACGTAGAATTTGTTGCAGTTGTTGCAGTTGAGTTGGTATATCAC